TCTTGTTTTTCTCGTTGCCATGTTCCCACCAATAACGTAGCTCCATTTTCTGCCTTTAAAAGCACACACAACCCACAATTCCTCTATTCGCTCCGACGAAGGGCCAACGCTCGAAACGTCAGCTTTTGTAATCGTTACGGTGGCCAATTTACCATTTCAACTTTGTTGATATATCCAAATTATAAAGATCAATTCCATTGCTACTAAACCGTAACACACTTACGTTGACTTTATTACCAAATCCAGCATAGAAAGGATTTCTATTTGTTGGAAACAAGCTTTGGATGTCTCTCAAACAGGCTATCTTAAACTCCTCTGGTTTCTTTTCGATCACTTCTCTGAAAAAGGCAAAGAACCAAAACAACACCAATTAAAACTGTTAAACAAAAATGAAATCAGCCTCAGCTCAGATTTCGCTGCGCAACACTCTCTCGTCCACCACGTTTGGTGACGAGATCTCACAACGCCTGCGAAGGAAACTACCTTAAACTAGGAAAAAAATCTTCAATTTGAGACAAAAAACAGTTTGATACTAAAAGAAAAAAAATCCCGATGCCCCGTGCAATGTGTACTAACGCTGTTTGATTGAAATCAAGTGAGTAGAAAGGAGTGAGTTTCTAGATTTTTCTTTTTTTCTCCATTAGCACTTTAAGTTATCTGTACTGTTGGTGAGCAGCACTATAAAATTCTACTTAATCCAGATCAATTTTTGGCTGTTGTATACGACTGTTGTTCTGATACCTGTGGAAAGCTTTGATAAGGGATTCAGGCGACAGAAGCAGTGGTCCATCAGGTAGCATCAGCTGATCTTGCTTTACACTCTTGAGGTAGTCTCTGGTCTGTTGTGCCTGCGTGTTCATGAAATATTACACATTTTGAACTGATTCGCGCTGCCGGGTCAACGACCTAATACTTCAACTAAGCAACTTCCACGTTGCTTACTCACGAGAGACGAGTATTCAAAATATCCGAGTTGGGAAATTCAACCATCTAGACAACAAGCAACTGCACTGACTAAACTTTAAACGCTCGTGATGATCTTACACCAAACATAGTGAACTACAGGACTCCTAGAGTTCAATCGCGTTAAAACCATTCCCTCCAGAGCGAGAAACCACTTCTGAAACGCAGAAAGGATTGCCGGCATAAGCTTGGAGAAAATCAAGTTAACAAAACGTACCTGTCCAATAGCTCGAGCTGACAGGTAAAGAACTTTATAACCGTTCTTCTGGATCTTACAAAAGAAGTGAGCCTGAAATAATATAAGATATCGGATCAATGTCAAAAAATTCTTCTCAAGAGGTATCCTCGGGAATGAATAGCTCAGGGACTTCTCTTTTACTAGCATCAAAATACATCCTTCAGTTCATAACCTATTAATGTTTTCTAACTTCTGTCCAGACAAAAATAAAGTGACGTCACAGACTACATAGATATGAATACATACCACCCCTGACTGAGCCCAAGCTTGTCCCACCACTGGAAGGATCTGACCCAAAACATCAGACCTAAAACAGAATGATTTTACGCAGTGCAACAATCAGCAATAGTAAAAAACGCCCTTTTCAAAATCAAGTCGTCGTGAAATTTGAGTAAACGTGTTAATATATCAAAATACCAGACTGCATACCAAAAAATACTGTGAGAATTTTGGAGATCCACGAATTTTCTTTGTTCTATTTTGTGCTCGTCACAAATCAAGGTCACATCTTTTCTTATTTGAATACAAAAGTACTGCTGGCCCAACAATAAACAAGAAGCAGGTCAAATATGGACTCAAGGTCTTAGCCACAAGCACTGGAAACCTTTACACTCTGTGCATTTTTCCCCTCCACATCCCTGTGCAACGGCGTCATTGTCAACAGATTGTTTTCGCTAGTTTATTTTGCTAGTATCTGACATGAGAGGGGAAATGGGTTGACACCCATCTCTAACAAAATTTCGTTTGAGGTTTCAGTATTTCATGTGGATTTCCAGGCCAACGAGTTGTTGACAAGTTAAATGTGCTGTTCACGAACACAATACAATGAATGACGAATCAATACTGATCTCGTCAACTGCACCTACAGCAGTGAATTATTAATGAAAACCTACAAGACATACTTAGGGCCTGGGAGAAACCGTCACTGTATAGTGTGACCGTTTGGGTAACGGTGGTCCCCAGAGGTACCGTTCTCTACAGCAAGGAATAAAGTTTTGACAACCTGATCAAAAGTCATCAATAATGTCAACCTTTCAGTGGGAGTGACTCAAGAAGCTTTTCAGCGTTCATGCTTGAAAACAACAAACTTTTTGATTACCAGAGTAAATTTACCACAGGTTTTGGAGGAAACTCACTTTGTTATTGTCCCATCAATATCAGAAATAACAATCTTATCTTTGTAATTCCATAGGTAGATAGTTGCTGTACACATTGCAGTACCCTGAAATAAACAGAATGCACTTAAACCACGTCATAAACCTTTTAAGATAAGTGTAAATTGCAAAGAATACTAACATAAACACTTATGTACCTGGTATTTTGTGGTTACAGAGAATGTTACACTGTTTGCTCCTTCTCTCAGATTCAAACTTGCCTGATGAGAATACAAATAAACTTCTTGGAATCAATGTTTCAATAAAGTAATTCAAGAGTCCAGCATATTCTTCACAAACATCTCTAACTTGTGCAAGATGTTTAGCAACATATAGAGTTTCAAGAGACAAACATATACTCTTATGGTGCTGAAACTATGCACATAGAGGAAACTTTAAGTGAGTAAACACATTTCAGAGGTTCATCTTCCAACATAATTCAGTCACACCGAATTGGTACAGAAAAGTTGATTTCTTATGAGGCAAAAAAAAGTATGGTGTCCTCACTAATAAGGAAGAAGAATTTCCTCTTTGAATCACAGACAAACTAAACACCCATTTCTGGACCATGGATCTTCCTTTGAAATGATACACCATCTTCCATTGTTTGCATGTTTATGGAAGAGTTCATTAACCAGTCGATAGATTATGGACCGATGTTTACAGTTCTAGCACCTGTAGATTACCAGTGGTAATAGCACCAAAGAAAATTAGTGACACTCAAATTCATTAGTTGCAAAGTCCATGATGACATTAGGTGCAAACTATTTTTTTTTTTCATTACAAGACATTAGGACTGGCTTAATGTAAGAGGTCATTCAATGTTACTCACAATTTGTTCAGAGGAAAGCCTTGTGACCTTCCTATAATTCCCCTTGGGGAATGCATCTGATTCATTGCCACTAATGCACTCAGATATTTTTCTCTCCCTGTTTTCAATGTCATCTTCTTCCCTTTCCATTTCTGGGGCAGACATTTGTTTTCTTGTACCACTACTATGTACCCTTGGGCGTGGCTTATCCTTCTTTATATCTTCATTCTCTTCATCTGAACTCTGAAATATTTAAACAGGTGTGAGGTATAGACACTGACAAGCAACATCGTCATTAGGAAAGTGATATTGAGTTATGACATGAAAATTCTGTGACATGGTTATGAACCAGTTAAATTCAAAAGTGAATGGCACAATTTACCACTGATTTTGTTTGCAGTTCTTCTTACACTTTGATAGATTACTAATTTACAAAAGCTGCAAATAAATTCAGATAATGTACAAACTACTAAAATGTGGAAAACATGCATGTAAGTATAATTTTGTTTTACCTTCTCCTCAGCTCTCCAAGAAAACCAATAATACATATTTCTGTAGCTTCTCCTTTTTTCCTAAAAAAAAGGGGTTCATTACAGATACACTGTACTTTATTCCCAAGGGTTACATGCTTCTGGCTAAAAATATAATTATTTCACTGCTTCAAAGTAGTAACTATGTTTATTAATTAAAGTTTTGCATGATTACACCATTAAGAGATTTTCAGAAAGAAAAATGAAATCACTCATAACAAGTACACTTTCCAGACCTGAGATACCATTGTTCAGCCTGGAGCAAACTTTGATCAAGAAAACATGCAAATCATGTGAATCACTTCACAGCAATTAACAATAAGTCCTAACCTTCTTTGGCATGTGTTGTTTTACCAGGGACTGGCATGTATCCTGCAGAGACAAACATCACATTTGAATTTTGCAATAGAGCTGCTGTGTTTTTTAAGCAAGAAATTAGAGAGTATTCATGTAGACCACATATTTCACCTGTAAAATAGAGACTCTGAAAGATGAAAGATCATCATAATTTTGAAAAGTAGATGTGAAAATAAGTCTACAGAAAACAATGGCTTGAACTAGTTCAATACAACAGTGATAAGCCAGTACTGTGATCTGACAGAATCCTCAAGATTTCTGGGAGTGGGTCAGAGTGCATGTAATAAACCATAAGAAAAGGGTACACTATGAGAATATGTGAACACTAAACATTTTAACTGTGGATTTTGAATAGAGGAAAGATCACAGCATCATTATGCTTCAGAAGTTATGCAAGGTTCAAGTGTTTTCACTTACAGTTTGTTAGGAGGAAGGTAGACATTTAGCTAATTACTTCACACAAGAGCTACCAAAGTACTATAGAGCTGACAATTGATTTTGCAACCAAATTGTTACCTGTCGAAGAGGTCTTTGAAAAACAACATGAGACATCAACATGGGAGCAGCAATCTGCCAGTTGTAGTATCTGCTCACAAATGAAGGCTATTTAGTAAATGAAAAATACATCATATTGCACAAACAGCAGTGCACAGTAAGTTGACCCTTTCACTCCCAAAATCTCAAAGGTAATTCTCCTCACCATTTGCCATGCACTGCTTATGATGATAAATCAGAGAATTTGGTACAAGATCAACAAACAATCTCCCTTGTGTTGTTGTTCTTTGTTCTTATCACCTGTTGGTACAGTGGCCCACAACTGTGACGGCGAAAAGAAATCGCTCATGGTGAAAAGAAATTGCTCATGGCGAAAATAAATTTCTCATGGTGAAAGGAAATTTCTCACAGCGAAAAGAAACTTCTCATGGTGAAAAGAAATTTCTCACGGCAAAAAGAAATTACTCACAGTGAAAAAGAAAACTAAAAAACGCCTGGGTGGGGATTGGTCTGAGTTGGCTTGGATTGCATCATGGATTGAGGTGCAGCATGCCATCTTGGAGCACGATGTTTTGCAGCACCTGCGGGCAGCGTTTACGGAATGAAGACAAGTTTTGCTCTCAATGCGGCAAAGGTATGGGATTTGAACTTACTTAACCACTTGTTTCTGAAAATCTGGTGTTGGCTTATGTTTAGAATGCCCGGCCACTCATTTACATGGAATGAACATGCCTCTTTGCCTTTTAACACCTCGACCCATGATGCAATCCTAGCCAACTCAAACCAATCCCCACCCAGGCGTTTTTGAGTTTTCTTTTTCGCCACAAGTAATTTCTTTTTGCCGTGAGCAATTTCTTTTTGCCGTGAGCAATTTCTTTTCGCCATGAGCAATTTCTTTTTGCCATGAGCAAATTATTTATTTTTGCCGTGAGAAATTTTTTTCGCCATGAGTGATTTCTTTTCACTGTGACAGTTGTGGGCCACCGTAGCATATTACATATTAATATTAAATTACTGTGAATATATGAAAATCAGCTCCCAGTTGGCTTGTTAGCTCAGTCGGTAGAGCACTACACTGGTATCCATACCGGCCTGAGTTTTTTAGGCCTAATTGGTCTTTGTCATGGGAGTTAAAGGTTTATACAACTTTGCAAATTCTTGCAAGAAGGTCTCACATACAAAGGACTTACAATGACCTCCAAGCTAGACTATCAATATACTGTAGCTATGTTAGTTGTACTGACAACCTGAGGCAAAGCTGGCAAATACCAGCCAGTGGGTAAAGAAAATGTCCACTGAATTGGATATTTATCCCTCACAAGTATAGCCCAAACTTTTTAACATGATTGCCAACAGTTTTCCAAAACTCACTTGAAAAACGATGTGATATATGAAAAGAAAAATTTGTTAGATATAAAGACTGGGTACTGCAGTATCTCAATTAAGAAAAATTATAATGTACAATATATTACCTGTCATTGATTCTAATAACAAGTTTGGGATCTGACAGTATTGCTGGATTGTTACACAGGTCATCAAATGTCACCATTGACTGTATGAAACTCTCTGTGAAACCAAAAAAACATCAGAGTTGATGCTGAGCAATTCCCATGAACATACTATCACCTTGCCTTTGCCAATTGCAGGAATATGATTGTCAATTTAAACTATAATCCTTCAAAGTTATCTTACTAGTTTTTTAAAAAACTTTTCAAGGATGGTTGAAGAGAAAAGGAGAGCATCAACAATGTAATAGAGAACATGTGGGCATCATCTTTATGACTCTCCAGCTTAAACACTCCAAATATTACTTTCATGAAGATCCACTTGCTGAACAGATTTTGAACAATGTAACAAAATTCTTGAAATGGGGTCACTAAATTGAAAAATTTCAGTACTGGTACCACAGGCGGTCCAAGCTCTCTTTGAGAATCAAACAAGGAACACAATTTGCATTTTCAAAAGGATTTGTATGGGATTTTCTACAAGATATCCACAGAGATAGTTAAAGGTGAAAATATTAAATAAAAATGGCTTACCTTGTTCCATACGTGTGCTGTTTGCTCCTGGTGTCATTATTTTACCGATTTCACTTGATTTAA